GCTGGTTTAATGCTTCGGAGGCGGCAGCTCCTCCACGTTCCACCACTAACTTAAAAAGAGCACGGGCTAGGCGAGGCAGAGGCTTTTAAAGGACTTGCAGACACTCCCCCCCCATCCCCGCCCCCACCCCCAGCTGCTCTGAAACTAGAGGGGATGGAGGGAGACCAGATAAACCTGTCTTCCCCCCCCCCACCCCAAACTTAAAAAAAATGTACCCAAAGAAAGCAATTACAATCTGCCTTCCCCAAGAACAAAACCCCACGCCTTCAAATGCACACATTGCATTCCTATCCCTACATTTGCATAGGACTCATTGGCTGGCACTAGCTAATTGTCTCAAACAAAACTTGATTGGGGCCATTTGCAGAGACAAAGAACTCTTTGGCTAAATAAATAATGCTGATAACAAAGCCCATTGGTGAGAAACAAAGAAACAATTCAAGAAATCTACCTCTCCCCAGACTGTTGCCTTTCCGTGGCAGAGATTTTAATTATCTTAGCTTTTTACCACTTCCAACTGCTGCGAAGCTAAAATGTCAGTGCATTTAACATCTAAAATACCAACTTACTAAATGACAAACTTGGAAAAACTGCTCAACCACTATTATTCCACATTTGAAGTCATTTCCGGTAATCATTTTCACCTAATTAGTAGTCTGGGTAATTAGATTTCCAGGTAAGTAACATATTTATTAGGGTTTTGGAGAACGTTGATTATATGTGTCTAAAGAACGAAAGCTAAACAAACAAGTATTGAACTTTTAATAGACACCCATCAGATATTTAAACATATTGCAAAAAAGTCTTCAAGATTGGCACGGGGCTTGCCAGAAATTGTTAAGTTAGAATCCCACCAATCAGATAACGATGGGGCCCCACATTTGTAGTGCAAGCTGCTTCCATGTTGATTTTGATGCATGGAGGCTGCAGATCCTGTGGGAGGCAAATTTTCAGACGTTTGGGTCCTCTGCAGCTGCAGCAGAGTTTCCTGTTAACACTAACTGCCTTTTGCACATTTTAGTTTTAAAGAAAGTAGATACACAAATATCCCAAGTTGTGAAACTAATAGAATTTCTCCCTACCGTTCAAGTTCCTTACAATCCTATGAGAAAAAGAGCTCAAGGGGGAAAAGAAAGAAAGAGAAAAGTTATTTACTTTCTTCAGCTGAGTTCCCCCCTCCACCCCAGCAAAGAGATTCAAAGTAGATGTTAATATAGGCTGGCAGTTTGCAAGTCTGCCTTTTATTTTCCTAAAATGTGGCACTTATATGCAAGGATCTCTACTTTGAAACTTTGACACCATGAAAGATTGCTTCAAAATGGCGGATACAAGATAAAGGTCTTACTGAGTTTTAAGGACTCCGGGTTTTCATATTTACGTTGTTTAAGACAGCAAGGCACAAAAGTCCATAAATGAAACTCAGTAACTTCTGTCTGATTTAAATTCAGAGCACAAAAGTCATTCTTTTCTAACCTAAGATCTAATTTAATGTAATTTTATAAATGTCTTTCATGGAGGAGTTTGTATTCTCCTCAGTAAAACTAATTTAGTTGCCCCTACAATACAGACTTTATATTTTTGCATGGTCTTTTCTTTCCAAAATACTGTTCTTTGGAGGCTGTGAAAATAAACAAAAAATCTCCAGTTTAGAGGCTGTCTAAACACATATATGACTGCTTTAAAATACAGTCAGATATGTGTTTAAACAGCCTCTAAACTGGAAACTTGTTGTTTAATCTTACTACCTTGCAAAGTTCTGAACTGCAGTACTATAGAGAAACGTAAAATCATATCAGATGTACCCATGAGAAATATGGAAATGTTCTTACATGTCGAGCTCTCACCCAATTAGAAATGCCTAACACATCGTACAATAAAGTAGCACATTCCAACATAAAAAGCAGTAACCGACAGAAAGCACCAGGGCTGAGATCCTTCCAGGAGCTCCTTTGCCCTTACCATTGCAAAATGGCTAAAATTCTCGGAAGAGACTATTTTCACTTTTGCTCCTGGATCCACCTTTAAAAGGAAAAGAGGAAAACCAAAAACCAAAACTAAGAGATTCTCTCCACAGCCGGCCTAGGTCTCCACTGTGCATAGAAGGCATGGGCCCTCCCAACTAACTTTCAAAGCCCTTTTCCTCCCGAATCAGAGTCCAGAAGGGGAAAAGAAATAACTTTTCCAAAATCTACGCCTCAGTATGACTGCTCACGAGGTGGCCTCTGGAGAGCTCATACCTAGAAGCTGACCACGGTCACGCGGTGAGTCCAGGCAGCCGGTCGGCGACCGTACCTCCGGGCGCGAGTGCCTGGGCCTTGTGTCCCTGCCGGCAGCCCCGCAGCCCCGCAGCCCCGCAGCCCCGCAGCCCCGCAGGCCTGGCGCCCGAGGTCCTGCTCCACTGCCAGCGTCGCCCGCGCAGCCTTATATCTAACGGTCAATTCCTGCAATCTGTCGCTCCCCCCCTCCCCCTTCGCCTTGTATTTTTTTTTTTTTCCTTCCAAGAAGCCCATCTACCAGTTGCTGTGTTCTCGCTCAACAATAATTACCTCGTCCGAGAATTAATTATAATAAATGTTTTCTTGATAAACTAACGAGATAATCCGAGGGGCACACGTCCCTTAATTACAGGCCGCCATGCTCCGCTCTGCTTCTCGTCCGGGCTGATTAATTTTCTGCATGATGGAAAGGAAACAAAACTACGCGGACTGGCGACTGGCCTGAGGCTGGAAAGACGATGAAGAGGAGGAAAGAAAGAAAAAGGAGACGTGTGGGCACCGCGGAAAACGGCGGGCGCTGGCCTCTCTCCGGCGAACTCGAGTGAAAGTTTCTGGCCTCGGGGAATCAAACAATTCTGCCACCCGCGAGGGAGGGAGGAAAAAACGTGCCAAAAGGGTTGGCCTTGACTATTAATTATCGTTGGGAGAAAGCCCCGGTGTTAGCAGCGCTGAGGTCTGGGTGTCTACCTTGCTCTGGGGGGAGGAGTTTCCTCTCCTGCTCTTCGCTCGTGCTAATAACTTTTGGTGCCTGGAAAAAGTCCCGAGCTGAGCAGGAGAAATCCCGACCCGCAAAGCCCGAGGATGCTGGGGAGAATTTCAAGGAGCGACTTCCCGGACCCTTCCCCAAGCAATCCGCTACTGCGGGGTCAGCGCCGCTCGGCCTTCGCTCCCCGCCCACCGCTTCGGCCTGGGAAGGAGGCAAAAGCCAACTCGGTGGAATTCTGACGGAGGACTTGGGTTTCCAAAATTGTGTCCCGAAACCGGGCATCGATTTCAACAGTCACCTGAACGCAGCAAAGCGAAGACTTCTTGGGAGTTTGCAGCGCGACCCGTCGCCCGGGCCCGGAGCTGGCAGAGACCTTCTGATGGTTCTCTCTGAGCAGACCCAGGACACAAGCTGAGCCTCGGCGAACCCCTCCGCCCCCGCCCGGCCCCGACCCACGACACCTCATTGTCCCCGAGGCTGAACCTGGGAAGGAGGTGCTGGAGCGCGCGAGCGAGCCCTGCCGCTCCCCGCCAGAGAACAGCGGAGGGGCCGCGGTCCCAGCAAGAGGATTCCTGTCCTCCGCCCGGCCGCGGCCTTGGGCGGAGCAGGGGCCACTCGTTGCTACTTCTGCCCGTCCCAGGTGCGCGCGGAGGGCGACTTGGGGCGGGCCGCGAACCATGCCCGGCAAAGTCCTGTTGAAAAATCACTCTTGACGTTCGCTCGGCCTGGTGACCAGGGTCGGGGACCAGGACAACCGGGGGTAGGAGTGGGGGGACTGCGTAATTGCAACCCAAGGTGGTTTTGGGGGGTGGTGGGTGTTTAAAAACAAAGAGGAGCCCTGGAACCTTTTGGAAGAAACAAAACCGAGCTGCATTAGGCTGAGGGAGAGGAGGCCGAAAAAAGCGAGTGGCGAACGCCGGGGCGGACGACAAGCCAGCGCTCCCGTCCTCCTCGGTTATCCGCTCCGGTTTCTGCTCACGTTCATCAGGGACGGGCAGGGGTTCAAGCGGCGGCCCCTGGCCCAGGCAGACCCGCAAGCCAACCGGGTTTCCGGCGCGCGGGCCCAAGGAGGCGCCTGACTTTTTATTATTGTTGTTTCAATCCATACATCTAGCTACATCTGCATCGTTTTGTCTCGGATTCTAAAAATGTCCTTGGGATCCATCCAAACGACACCAACCCAATCTAGGGGCCAAAACGCAAATATCGCGGGGAGAAGCCCAGAACGGCGTTGACGTAAAAACAAAACCACAAACAAAACCTTCCAAAACACCCAGATTACACTCGCAGCGTTTAGACGACGTTTCGCAGAAGCGACGACCCTCAGGAGCACGCTCTCTGCCTCTCCCACTCCCGCTCTCATCTCCAGATCACATTTCTTTTTTGCAACGATCGTTGTTCCGCCTCAAAATTTGTAAGAGAAAATAATGCGTCCGCCTACAGAACTCCACGTTCCCACAGGGACATCGGTCGGTCTATTGGAGGTACTGGGGTGATGGCCGACAGACACCGGTACACGTAGATATAGGTAGGCAAGACAGACGGACACTTACCTTACAGTCGCATGGGAGGTTAGAAAAAGTCAAATATCCTTCAAATTCCAAATAGCCAGCTATCCTAAAAGAAATCAAGAGTATTGAGTTAGAAACGTTGTAGTCTTCACCCTTCCATGAAAAGTCAAACACAACCAAAAAAAAATTTTTTTTTAAGAACAAAAAATGAGGAAGGCGGCTAGAGTTCTAAACACTCGTGGGCCCTTCTGCAATACATACAAAGTATATGTGGTGAGTGAGGGCTGCTCTAGCAATTTTTATTTTTAATCACAGTGGAGGCTGAGTTGGAGCTGAGGTCGGTCCCGCTCTCAGGGAGATTTGCTGAGAAAGCGCCTCTCTGGCAACTTTTTGACGCAAACTCTCCAACCAATGGCAGGCAGAGAATGATTGACACATCTAAGCCAGAGGGAAAATAATAAAAACACACAACAGGGGGAGGAAAACAGGCCGCTGCTGCACCGGGGGATGAGCCGGCAACAAATCCAGGCTTCCGACATTACCAGAATGTTCTTTAAAGACACTGCGCTCCGCTTAAAATATACATTATGGGCCGGAGCATGTGAACTAATTGTATAATTAAAATGATGGACAGGGAGTTCTTCTCTTACCCTCTTTTTCTCTGGTTCCTTTACTCTGAAATTTCCTTTCCCCTTTCCTTTGTGTTTTTTTTTTTTTTTTTATTTTTAGGGAAGGGAAGAAAGGAAACCCATACAATGTAAGATGGGAAGATAAAAATATTTAAGTAAATGCTGAAGCAGCGCGGCGGGGGCGGGGGGGGGGGGGGTGGAGGGTAGGGAGTGACCGGGTTATCACATTCAAGGCCGGCAATAAGGGTGTGGATGAGAGGCAGAAAGCAAGTAAGACTGAAACTCAAAAACACTACTATGCCTTCTCAAACAGGGCCAGAGCACGCTGACGGCCAGACAGGGTAAAAGAGGGAGGCCTGGAGTGCCATGTGGGCATGGAGGGAAGACAGAGAGATACACCAGTCCAAGAACAAACTATTTTCTAAAACTCAGTGTCTTCTCTATTTCCTACCCCGTTATAAATATCTTTAGACATATAAATAAATGATCCCTGAGTGACAGACCCCGGCTTCTGGTAGGCGCTTGGGTGTTTTCTGGAGTCGAGAAGCCCATGACTGACTGTAGGGAACACGAACCCCGGAATCAAATCACAGGGCCCGTTTAGGGGAAGTAGCTGGGGCCACACCAGGCCTCGAGGATGCGAGTGTGAGGTCGACAGGATGTCGAGGAAGGGAGCGAACGAGGAAGGCCCCCATTGGAAACAGTTTCTGTGTTAGAACAAACGCCACCAAACGCCCGACGCTGCGAGGCCTGGAGCTAACTGGGCTGGCGCCGCCCGAGCCCCAAGCTGAGAGCCGAGAGGCTGGGAAGTGATGGGAGCTGGGGACCCGAGCCAGAGAGTGCGACCTCCAGCCCAACTTTTTTGCTTGGCACAGAGATCAGGGACCGGACAGGTTTCAAACGGATCTGAGTCCCTAGAAAAGCAAAAACAGGCTGGGCGGAGTAGCGGGAAGGGATAGCGGAATTGCTGAGTGGAAGTGAATAAGGGTGGGGGGGAGTGGAGGGAGCAGAAAACAGCTCTTCCTTCTCAACACCCAGTGCAGGAAAAAATTCTTCCTGAACACCCCACCACCACCACCACCAACTACCATCACCACCACTGCTAGTGGGCCCAAAGAAAGAGCTCGCTGCCTTTAATTTGGGGACCTATGTTAATGAAGTTGGTAATTAATTCGTCGCTTTGTTGTCGGTTCTTATACTGTATGTGTAATCAAATGTGGCCGTCCTTGGGATTTACAGCAATTAACGAATTACGGGAGTGCGCACGAGGCAGCAAGCTCTCGGCAGCCGGGCTGGGCTCCGGCTTCGGCTCGGCCTGAGGCTGGGGACTCCGTGGCCGCGGCCCCCGTCACAGGTGTCTCTAGAGCTTTGGGCCCTGGCGGCCCCTCTAGTCCCCGAGCGGCCCGCCCAGCTCCTTCCCGGCCCTCTGCAGCAGCTCCAGTCCGGAGACCCGCTGGTTGTCGCGTTCCCAGGAGTCAGGACTTTCTGGGGGCCCGGGCGGGGGGGAGGGTGAGTACCGACCTTTTTTCTCACCCCACCTCCACTGTACTGAAACACCTGGTGACCGCCCCTCCCCCCAAGCCTTTAATAGGGGTGGTGGTGGGGAGGGGGTACTAATGCCCCAGGCGTTTTGGCCCTTGTGGCGCTGGCTGTCGGAGGCACTGGTTGGGTGCGCTTGGTCAGTCCTGATGCTTTCGATGAAGGAAAGGCAAAAACACACTGTTCGCCTCAAGCAGAGCCTCCTTCCTACCCCTACAAAAGACGACGTTTCCCCCAGTTTGATCACAATGATGTTTAAAGCATAAAAGAACGGAAAAAGAAAAGTGGACGTTGTGAATTTGGCAGAGCGGAAGGCCGTAGGGAGGCCCTGGGGACAGTCGGGATGGGGTGGGATGGGGAAATATCAGAACAAGGCGCTTGTGAGCTCCACCAAGTAAAAAATTTTGAACTGGGAGATCCGTCTGCTATAGGGTCCAGTGTCCAGGGAAACCTTTCAAGTCCGATGTAGAGGTTTGCGATATCCTCCCAGATGGCGGGGGCAGCTGAACCTCCCTAAAAATCCCCCTGTTCTGTTCGACAGGGGCAGATTTATGTGTGGTGGGGCGTGAGAGGGCTTTTGCCCGTCCAGCGGCCGGTGGCAGACAGCTCCGGCTTCTCTTTTGCCCTCTAGTCTAAGAACTTCTCAGAAATACAGGGCCAATAAACTACGAGTTGGAAATGGACAGTGTTAAATAAACAAGGGTCTCTTTAAAATTCTCATCCACTTCAGATGTCTAAAGTAAGATTGTGATGATTTTGTCACGGTTTGGTAAATTTACCCCTTTAAGAGGCTTTCATAAATCCCAGAACACACCTTCAGCCAGATTTGAATATAGATTTAGGTTTTAAAACCCAGAAGCTGGAAACACCGCTTTATCAAAGAGAATTTCCCTTTAGCTTAGCAATGTGCTGAAGCTCTTAAAAGATTGGATCTGAGAGAGAGAGAGAGAGACAGAGAAGAGAAAGAGAACTAGAGACAGAGAGAGGCAGACAGGGAGGGGGGGAAGACTTTCTTTTTCTTTCTAGAGGAATTCTGCCCAGAGTCTGCAGCAGTTGGTAGCAGGCAAGCTTTCTCCTGGGTGTCGCCTGGAAAAGTTGCAAAATTGCTGTTCACCTGTAAGAACATGCTCTTTATCTTCCAGTCTCTTCTTGTCAATTTGGAAATCGCAGACAGCCCGGCTCAGGTACAGTCCCCACAAACCCTATTCTAGGTCAGGACAAAAGCCACTGGCTTTGGGAGAAGGGGGCTGGGCTCTTTTACTGAAAACCTTAGATGCTTGGTGGGAGAAAAAGACTCTTTGGATGAAAAGTCTAACTCTTGATTTTCAGTAAGTTCTTGAACTTCCAATTTACTTACTATCTGTTCATTGTATTTCTATCTGTGTTTAACTTTTTTTCTATGTCCTGTGTCTTTAACATTTTATTATTTTTTTTTATGAATCTGACTTATGGTAGCATGCTTTGTGTTTTTAAACAATTTTCATTAACAAGTGGATGGTTTTTAATTGCCACTTGTACAATTATTTTACTACGTATATGACATATAAGCATTCAGAAGCTAAATTAAGAAAACCAATATGAAGGGAATCAAATTATTTGTCAGAGCTTGCACGCAGTTTCCAGAATATGGTGATATTATATTTTGAAATCAAGATGAATGTGTGGCCCTAACTAGCCTGACTTTCTCCACCCCACAAGCCAGGCCAGTTTAAAATATTCCAAACTTTCCTCCAAGTTTATTAACTTTGGTGGGGGGGGGGCAGGGGGGAGGGGGAGGGGAGAGAAGACATCCCGGGATTCTTCCAGCCTAATTAAAAAAGAAGAACAAAACCCATATTCCGTGAGAACATAGCCTCTTGGGGGAAAGGAGCCAGTTAGACTTCCTTAACACTTCAGAAATATGAACATTAATTTCCAATCTTTTCAGCAATTCAGTGAAGAGTGAGGGACTACATTTTGCCTAAGAAGCACCATAATATCCAGAAAGGAGTCATTTTTTTATTAGGTTTTTAGATTGTCTTTATTATAAACTTTAACGAGATTAACCTTAATCTTTTAATTTTTTAAACAAGGATTTAAGTTTTTTTTCACAAGGATTTAAGATTGACAATGCAGACAGAATTTAAGGGAAAAAATAAGGCAACAGATCACTTGTAAATTAAGCTTGAGTCTCTCCCTCCCTGCATTGCGGTTGCCTCAGAAAAGAGGGTAAGAGAGAAAGAAACAACTTCAAAGATAGGATTGGGCTGTCTCGATAAAAGAGTAGGGAGGCAAACTCCAAATGCGAAAAGGAGGAAAAGAGGACCATGTTGTTCCGGAATGAAACGGATTAAGATTGTGTGACAAGTGCGAGATGTGGGGCTGTGAGACATTTATGAGCAGGGTGTGAGCCGGGAGCTGTGCATCTGTCCCTGAGAGTGTGGGGACCAAGGGTGTGTGTAGAGCAAGGTTAGGGTGAGGGATAGGAAGGGCATGTGTGGATGTGAGACAGAAGTGTCAGGTGGGGTGTGTGTGTGTGTGTGTGTGTGTGTGTGTGTGTGTCAGAAGGGTGTGGACGGGAATGTGGATAGATTGATGAAGGGTGGTAGCTGTCAGTTTACATAATTTTCATCTCCTGGTCCTGAAGTTTCCTTGAAATCAATTCTATTGCAGGCAGCAGCCTTGAGCTTACAGAGCTGATATAAAACAACCATTACAGTCCAATATCTTGCCTGTTTGCAAACTTCATTTAAAACGGGGGGAAAAAAGACCCAGGAATGGTTTTGTAAGAAAGGAAAAAAAGAAGAAAAGAAAACCACAGTGAAGCTTTAAACTAGTTTGGATAAATCTCTAATCTTTTATTTGTAACCTTTTACAAGCTTTATTTCCCGTATATGAAAAGCTTCTTTTATATGGGTACGACAGACTTTTCCTTTGGATTTTTAATTAGAGTCCATCAATTGTAGCCATATTTAAGAATCAATATGAAGTAATCCTTCGAGATGGGATAAGGTTTTAATCGAAAATCTAATTTCCCACTCTTTGCAGATCATTTTAAGGGGCTGGTTGATTAAAAAAAAAAAAAAAAAGGGAGTTCAATTTTTAAAAGACATAACACCTAAAACCTGGAAAAGATCATGTCTACAAGAAACCAGCTGATGTTGCCTTACAAAGAAAAAGTCTGGCTGTTGTTGGGAACTTTTTTTTCCTACTTAGAAGAATTTGACTTATTTTTTTCTCCAACAGTATTCCCTAATGTGGATCCTAGGAGAGTATTCACATTGAATGGGGGAGAGAACAAGACAGAAATTGTTTGTTTGAAACATATTTCATATGCAAAAGGTAGCGACATAAATTTTTTATTAACAAAGAAAACATAGATCTTGACAGATCCCTCTCACTATACGTTCCCAAATTCTCAAGATTAGAGAATGAATAACACACGCTTTTTCATTTTTGTTCATGAATGCAAACTTTCCATTTTCAGATCCAGGATGAATATTTCTGACCAATTTTAAAACGTCAAAATTAGAACTTTGCAATTTTTGATTTTTTTTTTTTGCAACAATTGAAAAGTTGCTTATCTCAAAGGCATAGAATTTTAAACAGTTTTACCAGAGTCAATGGCTTTCAATTTGTCTTAAAAAAGAAAATGAAAGCAAGAAAGAAAGGAACAAACAAACAAACAAATAAAAACTAATTGTAGGTGCACAGACCAGACCCTTTGTGCTCCTGAAAGATTAATCTGAGGTAACTGGTCAAAGGCCGAACGTTATCTAAATGTGTATGGTACATTTCCAACATTCACCGCTTAGTTTAAGATCTGCAAATCATCCATAAGCTACAAGGGACCCCCCCAAAAAAAGTTAATAGTGTATTTTCAGGCAGTCACTATACTTTTACAAACTGTTGTATCTGTTAAGTGCATTTAGAAAAATGAACTCATCTTGTTTGCTTTTAAAAATCTGAATGAAGCATGTTTCAACATACTTGATAGCCATGCTTTTCTTTTATCTGCAGAAATTTCAATTTATTTAAAAGCTTGGCGTTTAATGCACTACATGACCGCATGAATTTTAGAGAAGCCCTCTTGTATTTCTCTGTAATCGTGTCTAATGAAAACCTGGGATTTTCCATTTATTTTTTAAAAAGTGAAAATATAATGCGTCTTCATTAGGAAAATTGACTGCTGTGCTCACGACAGTTCTTAATTGAAAAGGCAACCTATTTTAATGGTGTGGTTGAGAAGAAGATTACATACTTTATCCAAACACAAAGACAATTAATAATGAGAAGCAGGCTGCTGCCATTAACTCTAATGCAGTTGCATCAATGTCAGTGAAAAGCGCTCATACCTGAGATACACGGTGCAAACTCCCCCGGCTCCCTCCTTTCCCAATTCACCCACTTCTTAAATTTGAGTTTCTTAATGTGCAAGCGCCAGGGCCGGCTGTGGTCAGGCGGGCTATTTTCTAGCAAGTGCGGCGCGGGACTGGACGCCCCTGCCCGCGGGTCGCCGGGTATCGAGCTGCGCCGCCCGGCTGGAGGCGCCGGGGCTGCCTGGCTCTCCGCGCAGACCTCGAGCCCGTCCATTTGCGCGCGCGGAGCCGGGTGAGGGCGGCCGCGGCCCCCGAGCGATGGAGGATTTGGAGGCTCAGAGCCGCCGGGTACATTTTGAGAAGTTTAACAAACCGGACTGGGCTGCCTCGGAAACTCGGGTCTGTTCTGACTCATTTGCAGAAAAGTTACTGGGAAAAACATCTTGCAAAATTAAGGTTATGTTTGGCGGGTACAGTCTTGAGCGCACATGGTCATCCGGCGAATCAGCCAAGTTTTCCAAAGCGCCCCCTCTCCAGCTCTCAGGCCAGGGGAGCAAAGCGTACGTGTGTGCGTGTGCGCGCGCGCGCGTGTCTGTGTCTACATGTGTGCTCGCAAGCGCGTGTGTGTTTAGGGTGGGGGGACATCCCGACCTTTCTACACCCTAGTACGTCCCAACTCCAGGCTGGGAGGAGACGTCGGCGGCCTCTGGTCGTCTTTTCGCACCGTGGGCGAGGGGCGGCCAGCGGAGACCTCACGCCGGCCGCCTCGGACCCAGTGCGTCGAGCTAGGGGAGCCAGCGCCGGACGGGGAGACCTCCGGGATTCCGCCCTGGGCGCCGAAGGAGTGGCGGCCCTTGGTACCCGGCCTGGTGCTTGCTGCCGCCGGCGCTCCCGGGGGCCAGGAGTCAAGGATGCGGTTTGCCCCCGCAGTCCCAAGACCCCCCGGAGCCATTACAGCTTGCGGAAGGGGCTAACTCTGGTCTCCACGAGGTGATTCGGTGTTTGCAATAGGGTAGGCCCCTCTTGCTTGGCGTCTTACACCCCACGGAACTGGCTCTGCCCCGGCCTCTTCCCCAGCACAGTCTCCCAGCTAAGGCTAAGACAGCCGGGGAAGGGGGCGCCCCCATCAGTATTCCCCACAACCAGTCCCAGTTTGAGCCAGGGCGGCGGCTGCAGGCTGACAGGCGCTCTGTGACCAGGCCGTCACTTCCCTTCACCTAAGGTTAGATGGGGAGCGCGCACCTTCTGGGGAGTTCCCAAAGCTTCTCGCTTTGATTAGCCACGCGCAGCTCCAGAGAGAGATATTGCTGGGGTCTGAGTCCGTGGGAAGTGTCGGGAAGAGAGGAGAGAAGAGCAGGTAGACTTCGGCGGCTGCCCTGCGGACACTTGCACACATCCAGCCTCGTGGAGGAGGAAGGACCCTGTCCTCCAAAGCCAGAATGAATACACTTCCCTCCCTTGAGGCATAGCCTCACTGGAAAGTCCCTTCCACAAATGCACCCTTCCCTCTGCAGCCCTCGGTATCCTGGGGCCAGCTCTGTCGTCCCTCAGTCAAGCATACCCCACTCTCTTCCCTGTTTCCGTCTATTTATGTGCAGACTTCCTGTAGACTTGCTACTTTTGTGATTTTCCCCACGAGCTAGGGGGCCTTTTCAAGGCTCTGAAGACAGGCAGGCCTGGAGATTTCCACGAAGCCCCAGGTGCCTCCTCTCCCTCCCTTAGGGCAGGTGAGTCTAAAACATTGTAGCGTCCTTTTGGTGAGAGCCAACTATGAGCTACTTGATGTGGTCTAGGAATCTTCTGGCCTCCTTTCCAGCTTCAGTGTTGGATAAGCCTCCTTGCATGATGTATCTAGAGTTTCACCTATTCTTTTAAAACACGCTTTT